CATTAATTAAATCAATGGCTTCCTATGAACGACACTGTTACTCTGGAAATTCTCAACCTCCTTGTATTTTCTGATTTAATTTAATTTATGCTAAATTTAAGCAAATATATTAAATATGCGGCTAGATTAGATTAGACTATAGTAGAACATTGTAGACTAACAAAACAATCGACAACACTCGTAGATTGTTCATCGCCTAAGAATCACATTTTGTTATTATGGAGAAAATCTTTTGTTTATTCAAAATTTAAAAGGTGTTACGAATTTGCGTCATCATCCAAAGATGCTGACTTTTTTTCTGTGTCGTGTGTCACCATAGAAAATACTTACCATAGGCAAAAATAAAATGCTAGAAAGTTCTCTTGATTTTTCCTTTTATTTTGCATGAACGAGATTTGCTGTTCTTTTATTAATATAGAGACTATATTGGATTTTTTTGTTTTTTTCGAAGTTTTATTTAAATTGATGCAACTTTTGTAAAAATTTCAACTTATTATTTTTTTAAAAATTATCAAATGAACAAATTAATTCAATTTAAATTATTATTTTTTTTCAAAATTTTCAAAGTGTTATTTTTTTTAAGTTTTATTTTATGTCAATTTTTTAAAATTTTAATATCTTTCATTTTATAGTTTTATGAAACTTTGAAAGTGGAAAAATACAAAAAAAAATAAAAAAAAATATTCTACTTTTTCAAAAGAAATTATAAAACAACTAGAAACAAACAAAAAATGACAAAAAAGTAACATATTTTCAAAAAGTAGGTTAATATGATATTTATTTTGAACAAAATGTATATTTTTATTTAATGACAAATTATTTACGCATTAGTAGATACAAAAGAGACACAACTTTTTTTTATACTTTTATCTTATCAATGTATACGTCATCGTGTACATACATACAATGATTGATAAGGCAGCATCTTCTCAGAAAGTAAAAAGAGCTGAAAAATTTCTTTACAGCAGATGATGATATGTATAAATGAATATGTTGATAGAAAAAGTGATGAGAGACAAACGGAGAAAAAAAAGTGTTACACAATCGACTAGATTACAGTGAACAGCGTTTTTATATACAGTTAGTGTACATCCATTATATTTATTTTAACATTAGCGAAGAAAAAAAAAATTGTGTGTTAAATTTAATTAAATAGCACCGAAACAAGACCAATATGCGAAAGAAGTAATGGAAAAACACTGAGCTTGAGAAGGTTTAAGGTTGCCTAAAAACTCATTAATTATAATTTTTTTTTCTCGTATGGTGATATATACACTAGCTGTGTACACAACACAAAAAAAAATTAAGTATGCGGTGTATAATATCGACACACCTTCGACGTTTTGATTTTATCTCGCAAATTATGTCTATTCAATGGAGAATTGTTGTCTTCATATGGTTCCTTCTTACACAAGATTGATTCCAGTAAGAAAAAAAATAATAAAGTTGAGTGAATCTATTAAGCTAGTTGAAATCCAATTTTTCAAAAAAAATGAAGAAATGAAGAATTCCAAATATGTTGAAATTTCCATATTAATTAAGGATTTGAACCTGTTAACAATCATCATTCTGAGTGTTAAACAATAATAAATTCAGTTTAATGTAAAATCGGTTTAACAAAATTCACAAAAATATTAACCACATTCCTGGAGCATATCAAGTCCAATTTCATTCAAAACTTCCAAAAAAAAAATTCATCCAAACTTATACTATTTAAACTCAAATTAAATTCAAATTTTATTTCCAACAATAATGCAAAATAAACCGACTAAAAATACCAAAAAAATCTTCATCCAAACAGCCTGTACATCCCCATTAATATTCTCATTTCATTGTCTTCAACATTACCTCTTTTTTTTTCAAAAGAGTTTAATTAAATTTGCCCAAAAAAAGTGCGCACTTGAGATTCTAAATAATGACATGTAATGTAATGCATAGAAGATGAGGCGGGAACGACAAAATTATAAAGAACAAAAAATACTGTTGCTATTGTCGAAGAAATAAAATAAATTCCGTTGTTACTGCCGCAAGAGGAAGCTGTAACTGTAAGTGCTCATTTTTTGCAGTGGGTAACGAAGAGCTAGAGAAGCTGTGACTAGTATTTTCCTACTTATATTCGCATCTATGCCAAAGCGTAGACCTTTAAGGCATTTAAAGACGTTGCCTTAATGAATGGCAAATGAGAGCAACAAGATCTCTCTTTTTGGCTTACATCATGCTGTTGATGGGTTATGATGATGATCATGATAATGATGTTTTCAAATAAATAAGAAATAATCTGTTTTGTGGTGGTAGGGATGTGTTTAGTGATGATGTGATGTGCTGTTGTAACAAATGAGACGTATTACATAGAAAATTTAAAACGTTTTGCATGTTAATGGCTGCTTCCATTTTGTGGAAAGCAAGATGCAAGACACAGATTCTTCATTAATGCCATAATTAGAGTAACATCTTGTACCGAGCTTACCATGGATATTTAAGCATAAATATTTACAACATTTTGCAAAAATTTGACATTTCGAGTGATAAAAAAAAATTTTTGACTATAAAATTTAATCTTTTTAAATTAAGGTGCGGTTTCAATGACAATTTTATGCTTCGATAATATTTATAACTTAATAAGTAAGACAAGGCATTTTATCAATGTCACTATATTATAATCATCATGTTGATTTTACAAGAAAAAATTAAGACATATTTTCATATTTTGCTGTGGCTAACGCTAGCTCAAGATTGAAACATTGGAATTTCGCTAATTAATTTATGAAAACATTTTTGACAGATCCATAACATTATGACATGTGACTTCCTGTAACTTATGGTAAAAATTAGAAAATGTTGTGTTCATTACTGCGTATTTAATGTTCTAGGGAGGTTTGATGATTTTTTAGTGATGTAACTAGTTTTGTAGATCATGATCAATTATTGAGGGGTTCATCACACAATACAGACTTAACTCAGTCAACCTTATTATTTAAAAATAGTCAGTTAATACCTATAAAACCCTTAAAAGCAGTAAAATCCAAAGAAAATATGCCAAAAATTTAGCAAACTTAATTGGAATTTTCTTAGAACAGCTGCCATAAAATTCCCCTTATTCTTCAACGAGCCCCTCATTCCATATTTCTAGATAATTACGCAACATTCTCATAATTGCTGAAATATCAAGACAAACAGATACACATATTGTTTCCTCTCTTAATCACATTTTAGTTAATTCCATTCCTTAAAATTTTCGCCTATTTAACTTCTATTCAACAGACTCTTGGTTTAGAAACTTAATATTATTATTGTTGTTATTATTTGTGAGAATATAAATCGAAACATGTTTAACATATGATTGATGCCAAACGCTTGATGGGGGATTATGAGAATAAAAATAATAATAATGAAAAATAACATTCTGCTACAAATATTAATTCGTCTCAAGGTTAAGATTTTGATCATATTTTTGTGCTATGTCTATGTGCTTGCCTTTCTAAACCAACTTTTTTTTCACTGCTCCTTCATTCTTCATTCAAATTAGAGAAACGAAACATATGTGAGCTGGAAAAAAAAAAGTTTCTCTTCTCGCATAAAATACCAAGGCATATCACAGACATAATCGCTGCTCATAATATCTAGTCGAGTATATATTAAAGAAAAAAACATTTTTTGAATATTACAATAAGATATTACGAAATAGATTAAATATCATGCTACACGTTGTGAGAGAAGGTGACTAATGGAAAACGTGCGTACTATGAAAAAGTACTTAAAGGAGCACATTGATTCTTGTATAATGTTGGGTGTATTTTCATTTTTTTTTTTCTTTTCTTACTGCATTCGAAGTCAAAGTTGAATCGAGAGAAAAAGGTGCAGTGATCTAAATTTCTGCTGACACAAATACATCTCTGACGTATGAATCAATAAATTTGTAAAGCAAACATGCATTTAGGTAAATTCAATGTAATATACATGTACAGGATTCATATCTCTTTCACTGGTCTTTCACAAATAGTTGAATTTGATTTGAAGATAATGAAAAGCTTTGACAGAGAATTAAACCTAGTTTTTAGAGATCCAAACCTGATTTACAGAGAACCAAACCTAATTTACAGAGAACCAAACCTTTCCTCCAAAGAGCTAGACATTTAAAGGAACAAATACATAAAACTAAGCCACAAAACAACCACCTACAATCAAATATAGACGTCTAATCTCACTATCAATCCATTCCAATCTCCTCATTTTTTCATCATAAAGAAATTTTCCCTCAATCTCCAAAAAAATATGCGAAAAAAAATTTCAATCATAAAGTCATTAGAATTTATAATTTTTTCATAACAAAAATTCATTTGACAATTCAATTTTGAAGATGAATGAAACAGCAGACCAGACGATATTGTTGTAAGCACTTCAGCTCAAAAAATAATTCTAGCCAGTTTTCTACTTTCAATGGTTGTTTAGAATAGCGTGACAATCATAACACAGACCAGAAATGTGAGCTTCAGAATATATAGTCTCAACATTCGAGCATGCAAATTTGTATTTTTTTAAAAAATTAAATTTCAGCTTTACTTTCGTGATTTTTAATGACTGGAAAATGGTATGTCTGTATATGCTTAAAAAACTAGCTTCAGCATTCAATGTCTAACTTTTTAAAGCTTGATTTAAGCCAGATATGCATTACTATTTCATTAGTATTAACTTTTAATACACGAATTACATTAGACTGGATAAAAAAGGTTTGTCGATATCGAAACGCAAGACATTTTTCATTTTTTTTTTCTTAGACATTCATCTTCTCGCATTGCTATTCAAATTAGTCAGTCACGTGTTACTCACAATCGACTTTTTGACGCAACTCGTTGTTTAAAATAGTTTTTCGAGCTTAGTATTATGCAGTATTATTAAGTTTTTACATTGTATGGATATCTATAGATTTAAAATTACATAAACTTATCAGAGTTTAAGATTAATTTACGTGGGTTTGAAGTAGTTAATAAGAATTTGTTGATATGAAGCTAATAGTTTTAACTAGGATGGTAAATTAAAATCAGCTTTTTATGCTTTAATTCAGCAAACTTTCATTCATTCAGCAACTTAAGCTTAATTCAGCAAATTTCGACGCATTTAATAAATTAAACTTGATTAGTAAGTTAACCTAAATTGAACAAATTCAGCTGAACTTAGTAAATTTTTATAAATTCAGCTGTTTCCAGTCAATTCATCTAAGCTAGATTTGAGCATCAAAATTCATCAAATCAAGTTAAGCTTATTGATTTTAGTTACATCTTTTTAAATCCAAATTTTTGACAGTCTCTGATATTCCATTTAATCTCAATAGAAACAGCAAACCCCCTCACAATTTTCCTAACCTACAACAATGTAAATTCTGTTCATAACTTACCGTTTGAAAATCTATTTTTCACTTAAACATAAATTTTACCGTTCAATTAATTACATTTTTTGCACACACAGTGTTGCATCTACCTATTGATGTGCAACAGCACATCGGGAATGCTAGTTGTTAAATTAAAAAATAATCATAAAAAATCTGAGTAGGAAACAAGCTTGTAAGCTTGTTCGTTGGCTATCAATTAACATTTCTAGAACAAATAAAAAATAATAAAAAAAGATTATATGAAACTTTCATATCTTATTTTGTGGAAATTGTTTGAACAAAGAAAGAATGAAGTGGAATAGGAAAGAATGTAGATTACGGTCGGATGTGCTTGAGAATTGCTTCATATCTATATGTACGTATATGCTTGTGATGCATCAATTATCAAAGGCACATCAACATCATTAAAAGCAATATGTGTGTAAATAACAAATCATCATACATTGCTGATGGCAACGGTAGCAGAACATAATTAACGCTTTTTAATTTATTTATTTTTTTTTTTCTGTATGATGTAATTCTCCTTTTTCTTTCAATTATTATCATGCTGTCGGATGAATCTCTCCATAGACATTCTCTCGTGCTTGCTTGTATATTTATATCTGTGCGAGTGACACCTTGACAAGTTATGGATGAGAAGAAGAATAAAGCAGAATGAAAGAATTGAAATCAGTGAAAATAGAACGAAAAAAAAAAACTAAATGTTGACAAATTAATGCGCCGAAAATTCTCTTTTATAAATTTCACAAAAGATGTTGCATTAATCCTGACAAATGGTGCCAACAATTCATTAATCATTTTTATATTTTTCTTGTATCTTTATAGGTGGCTGGCATAACAGCAAACACGGAGCAAAATATTGCTCCGCTAGTGCCTCTATCGGGCCCATCGCCCTTGCAACTATCAAATGAACCTCACATGTCAATTGTTGCATCCGAAAATGCAGGGTAAGTACTTCCATACCTTTTTTCAACCCTCTGTTTTTTTTTTGTCTGTTTTGTCAAAGCAGCAAAACTTGTTGTTGAATACTTTTTTTTGCAGAAATGGCGAAAATAAATAAAATAAATTTTTTTTTATATTCAATTGAAAAGCGCAAGAAAGGAAAAAAGTAATGTGTAAAGAAGAAGAAAAGTTTTCAGTTCGGGCGCAATATCGACTTGGGTTCGTTCTTCTCTACTCTTTATTTTTTTTTCTGCACAAGTAATACAGAAAGCGACCTACCTCAATCAATTATTAAGTGAAAAGTGTATATAAGAGGAGAACAAGCAATGGAAATTTTTTTACTCTCTCTCTCTCTTTATGTTTCCATCTCTCTTACATGTCTCTGGTTTGATTCCATCAACAAAATATAAGCAAATGTAAAATGTTGGTTCTCTGTTTCAATTTCCATCAGAACGGAATGTTATTAATCATTCTTGTATTTATTTTTTTAAGAATAAATTTTTGTTGAATGAAATTTTCTTCGAGGTGAAGAAAAGGACGATGATCCAGATGTGGCACAGTTTTTCAAGGAGAATTATTGTAATTTTCTTCTAATTTCTTACATTTTTCTAGATAGTGTAGGTTGCAATGGAATGGAATTTAATAAATTTTAATACATTTATGAGCATAGTTTGATGTTGAGCTGAGCTAGATCGTTGGTGTAGCTAATAAAGCATTTTATAGACATTTTTTAGGCTTACAGGGAAAGATATGGGACTGGAACCGGTTCCTTTTCAACGTGTTGCTTTAATAAGACCATATTGACTAAGTTCAATCTTTATAGTCTCAAAAATTGTATAAAATACCCTCCACACCCCCCCCCCCAATTTTAAAAAAAAATTTTTATTTAACCTCACCGAAAATTCTTTCAACTTCCCACAGCAATCAGTGCTGAAAAGTTCCTCCTAAGCCCCCCAAAAAAGGTTCGCCTGCATTAAATTCTTATCAACTCCAAACGCCCATTGATTTCCAATAACATAAAATAAATAAATTAATTAAATTACATAAGGAATGCACAGAAAAGGAAATTCTTTTCTTGATATGCGCACCAGCAAACTGGAATTTTGTGTGAAAACAACAAAAGAAAAATATTTCAGGTTTTATTTTATTCCATCTTTTTTAAGAGTTCATTTCTGATGACGATAGGCAGCTTGTGAGCCCAAAAATAACCATCGTTCAAGTAATAACATGTAATTTTTCTCTCTCTTTCAATGCCTTGCATTTCAACCTTATTATTGCTTGTGTGTCTGTGTCAAGTGCATAATATGCTTCAGTTATTTCTTCTTCTTCAGCGTTCTCGGTGCTCGGTGCTCTGTGCAGTGTGAGCAAGTTGAAAAATGTTACATAAAATATCATATTATGCACATACAATACGTTGCCTTGCGCATGATGGAAAAATGTGAAAAGTGATGTGCATTTTTACATCAATGACTGACATGAAATATAAATTTTTTTATATGCAAAAACAAAAATAAAGCGAAAAGAATCTTTAAGACAGAAAAAAAAGTTCATTTGAGAGAGGTCCACTATTAAAAAACCTGTTTATCTTATTTATGCAGGCTTGCGAATTGTTTTTGTTTTGTATTTTTTTTTATTCATCCTCCGCCTTTTTTATGTTTTATTTTTTCCATTCCTCTTTGTAGTTTATTTTTTTGCTGTTGGACGAATTATAGAGAAATAGCCGCGTGCAGAACAGAAATAAAGAATTCTTGCAAATTTATTTTTTTTGAGCTCAAAACTCAAAAGTTAATTAGTACTGCATATTGTCTAATTATCGACTGTTATAATTTTTTTCCCGGGAGGCATGGAACTCTTGGGAGTTATGAAGTTGCTTTTTTTGAGGTTTGGCTTCGTGAGTGTTGTGAAGACGCCACAAGGAATAAAGTTGTTATTCAATTTAGATGATTTTAAGAGTTTTAGTCAATTATGAGTGATATTATTGCTGTAATTGGACCTAGTTGGCCAATCATATGTAATTTTGAGTCAGAAAAATCAAATAATTAGTTTATAGGAACCACGACTAGCTAGTCAGACACAATATTCAATAAAACAGTAAATCTCAATGCAAAGCTATATGCAAATATTATAAAACCTATAAAATCCTAGCTACTATCTCAATTCCCATCAAGTTCAATGTCTCCTCGGCTGATTCAGCTGCAAATATTTAATTATTGAAAAAAAGAGCAAAATTACACGAAGCAAAAAGCGGAAAACGTGTAGAAATATATAAACAAGATAATCTCACGCTATTTGACTTGTTACAACTGTCCACATCAATTGCTAATCTAGTAAAATATAAATTATTTCTTCGTTCATACATCTGAGCATCAAATGAGCGCTTCACAATTGCATGTGCACATAAAATGCAGCTAATTACATTCATCATACTGTCATCAATTAACCATCGTCTCTAATAATACATTGAATCGTGCCACAAAAGTGTCGTAAAGTGAATGTCCATAGCATAAATATAAATTTGTAGAAAGACACAGAAATTAAATTATGCAAAAAAGGTTGATTGGTGGTCCAAATTCCTTGAATATACCCTAAAGGGTATAATAAAAACATTTTTTTTAACTTCATTGCCATTCGGTGGTAGAGAGAAAAAGAAAAAAAGCTTGTAGATGCAGTATCGTATAGTTCCTAAGGTAGTGACAGATATGAAACGAACTAGAAAAAATAATAAAAACTTAATTCAAGGATTGAAAACACAAAGGAGAAGTTTTTATGTTGTTTACTTTGCTGAATGATTAATTAATGTCAATGCACATAAACCCACATTTTTTTGGTTCTCATCATAATGCATCGACATTTTTTTTATCATAATCAGCCATAAAAAATATAACAAAATTTTGGAATATTTTACAATCGCTCTGAGAATTGTTTTGCTGCATTAATGCGATGAATGAAATATTTGAAAAATTTTAATTTTTATTGTTGTTCGAGCTTCAAAAAAATAAAAAGTTGGATTACAACAGGACTGAAATTATTTATTTGAAATAACGAATGAGATTAAAGTATAATGCGGAATTATAAAACAACTCTCCGCTGGTGGAAATTAATTTTCGACGTCATCGGGATTGATTTTGTATTGAAATTGATGCAATGTTATGGATTAAATTGATGGGGAAATTGGCTACTTTGTAGCTGGAAATGTGTATTAAAATTACGGTGATTTATGTGGGTGGGATTGAGAGGAAGGACCTTTATTGCGTCATTCTAGTTGCTGTGGTCACCCCATGCAGAATATTTCAATTTATGTTCGAAGTAAACAACTCCAAATCCAATAAATTTTACGACCACAGAATTTTTTACGTTCATACTGAATGAGTCAATTCGATCATCCTCCACAAAAATGCTATAAAACTTACAATTTTCATTTATTTACAAATTCATCAAACAGATAATAATCTATAAATCTTAATTCATTCAAGATCCATCAATTTCAATTTTTAAAAATATAATGCAAATTTGTATATTCTTCTGGCACAATGCAGATGACATAAATTTTGAAGATTTGATGTCATTTTAAATTTTGTTGGATAAGGTCATGAAACCGTGAATTGTTGTTATATGAATCTTTAGTGTGTGTGCATCTATAAAACATTTTCAAGCTTAGTATGTACAAATGCACGCTTAGTGAACCATATTTTAAGTTACATATATAGAATAGAGTACATTCTTTTTATTGACGATCGACATGACATCGTAAAACATCAACTTATGTGACTATTTTTAAAAAAAATGCAGTTTGCCTTTCATGTAATGACTTTGGCTCTTTCTTCTTGTGACTGTATATGTGGCTGACGATCGACAACAGAAAAATTTTTGCTATTTATGAACCTCATGACTTTTGTGCATGTGACGACTCAACTTGAAACTCAATAATTGATTCTTTCCTGAAACAAAATTGAATTCTTGGAGTCTTCTCTTTCAAATTTTTCAATTGCTACGGTGCATAAGCTACACTATTTTTCGAGATCTCATTTTAGTTTGACATTGACTCACTCTCATGCTAGCTCTATGTGGATGTGGGATAAGAATGAAAAAAGGAACTGGAAAAAATAATAATAAGAAGTAAAATAAATTTTTAGCTGCTTCAGTGGATTCTCTATATGCTTCATACAATACACTTTGCATTGTACTATGCTACTTTGTGCTGAATAAAATAATATAAAAAAAAGCGAAATGAGAACACATAAAAGAGATGTGATGTAGAAGAGAAACAAGGACAAAGTCAAATAATTGGAGATATTACTTCATGTGGAAAATCTTGATGATGAAAGTGCTTTGAGGTGTTACTGCGTCAATACGATAAATTGGCATTTTTCATCCCCCATACCTTTATCTTATCCTTCCCCTTTCAAGAAACTTTCCTTTTTCAAAGTCAAACTATTGCAATTTTAAAAGAAGATGGAAGTAAAAAATTGAAAAGTGCATGCGCGCATGCAAAAAGAAACAGAGAATTGAAATGGGTGCCTGCAGATGGTGTATGGTTAGTTCTAATAAGAGCAAAAGATCATTAAACTAAGCTTTTTTGCTGGGCGAATATGTGAGATTATTTACAATATTTATTTCATTTCTCCTTACTTGATATTGCACACATATTATATTATTATTATTATAGTTGAAGATTACATATATCTTATGAATTAATGAAATATCATGAACATTTTAAAACGTCACGAACTTCATGGGTTTATATTCTTATGAATGAAGATCAAAATAATATTTACATTTCGTGATAAAATTTATATAAAAATACAACGTATTTTATTTTTTATTAAAAAAATATGAGAATCAGTTGATTTGCACTTCATGGTGAAATTTTATTTTATTTCATTTGTTGCTCCTTTACACAACAAGCGAAGCTTTCAAGGATCATTGCGGTTGGTTAAGGACTTTTTATATATATTTATTTTCTTGCTCTGCTGTGCTGCAGTTGCTATCGAATTTCTCTAAAAATAACTCGACCGAATGAGAAATAAATGTTAATTTTGAGTGTTTTATATTTTGCTGGATGTTTTCAGAGGTTAGTGGGGATTGCTGGTGATTTATCCTGCAAGATTTGTGGCTATTAATGTAGAGTCATCCATTTTCTTCTTGCAAATTGCATATAATGTTGTTAAACTTACAGAAAATAATAAAAATTTTGATAATCTGCAAATGAGTAGACATTTACTCAGTAGCTAGTACAGAAAGCCGTTCATCCTCCAGTCTACCTTCTTACAATATTCAAG